CAAAGGGATCTCCGCATCGGCGGATTGGAGGGTTTGTTTGGGCAAGGAACAAATTTCGCATCGTCACGGAACGTCGCGGAATGTATTTTTGAGCGCACGGAACAGGCGAGTACGACGACTCGGCTGGCTTTTGTCGAATGTTCACTTCCTTCCGTATGGTCAGTATTCAAAGATCATTGTTGTTTGTTGTTGAATTCATTGCGTTGCCCCTGCTCTACGTACGCGACCTCAACACGTTCCTGTCGGCCTACGGCGCCGCTTCGTGATGTGCGTTCGGAACACGAGATACTGCGATACCATCGTGTTCCACGTCAAGATCATTATTATGTAGATATCGTAGTACGTCGACGTCGCATCAGCGAAAGTTCCCCATGTATTCAATTTTCTCCACGGGATACGACACGGAATCCGTTGATCGGCGCTCGACAGAAGGACGGGTCATGACATCCGGTCGGCACAGGAGTCCACTGGTGTCGAGCAACAAATGCTCCCAGTCATTACGACCCCTTGATCCAAACCGGACCGGAGCCCGGCATGACAACAAATCGAGACGGTTTCTCCGATCCATGGCAGCGACTGTCTCCGAAGCCAGACGGAGCCCACAGACCTGTTTTCTCGAAGGTTTTCATCTTCATCGATTCCCTTTCTGAGGAGAATGAGTTGGTTTGTTGTTTCTCCGGATAAGTAGGTCGTCGTCGTTGCTGCCGTCGTCGCTTTATCCAACTCGTTAAATCGTTCGGGATAACCGGCAGTGATCCGAGTAGGTTCCGCAAAATGTTGATGGAAACACGGGTTTCTTGTCGCAAACATCCAGTCTTTCCCTCACGATGCCCGCCCGGCTTTCGCTGACTACCATCACGCGCACTTTCTGCCGCCAACAGTTGATGCCGTCGTTTACGAGAGCCGGCGGTTTTCTGATAGAAAAAAAAGAGAAGGGAAACTCCAAAATGCGGGCGCGGATCAGGACGGACCGTCCGATCATCCATCCGGCGGGCCGGCCGGGCCACTCGGCCAGCCGGTCGGCTCGCCGGACTTCCGGGTGCTGTTTGTAGAAGCCGCACTACCGCCACAAGTTACCGTCAGTCAGCTTGCGAGTTGTAGAGGCAGCATACCTTTTGGTTTTGCGCGCGGAATCTGCTTTTGCTGCATCTTCGTCGTCGTCGCCGTCGAATTGTTGATGAAGTGGCCGCTGGATCCGCTGCCGCCGCCGCCGCAGCCGCCACCGAGAAGAAGATCTGGGACGGCCGTTGCTTCAGGCAACTCGTCGAAGAAATTCTTCACTCGACTTCGACTGGACACCTCTGGAATGCAAAATATTCAAACCGGAAGACCCGTCTCGTTTGTCAATTTACGTTATCAGCATGATTCGCGATTACCAGTTTCCGAACGATGAACCGATGTCCGTCCGAACTCGCTCACGTCGCCGGCCGGTGCTCCGACCTCGCCCGAATGTTTAACGACGGGTCATGCTGGAGAAACGCGATCTCTGACGGGCATCTCTTCAAGCTTCGCGAGGCCCTTGTACGCGATGCTTTTGAGCGGAAGTTTCGACCGCATCGTCGAGCCCCACCGAGGGAGATCACGGTCGCGCGCGGACGCACCCCGGGCAAAGGTCGAAACGCTGCGAGACGTAAGGCACTTCAAGTGTCTGTCAAGAACTCCATCCGGAATACTAACAAAGACCCATGGTTCTCGTGAGCCGTCAGGCGCCCCATGGAACCGCCTGCTGACTCTGAAAAGTCTCTTCGAACTGGAATTTGGTATCCGTCAATAGCTTTGTTCTAATGGCAAACGTCTGCTCTGCGGCATCGCGGAAACGGAGCAAGGTCGAGTTCTGGATTGATGTGGGTCCACTTCTTTTCTGCTTTCTTCCCCTCGAGGGGAGAGAAATGTCTTTCCGACTTCGGCGCGAACGATTAGCAGTGGAAGCGCGGAAACGCTACGAAAAATCGCGGAGGGAAAATCTCGCAGAGGAACAACGCGGCTCAACGCATCGTTCGAACATTTTCGGGCAGACTGTCAGAAAAGGGAACGTTGCCAACTTGAGTATCTCGGCCAATGGTCGAGTTCTCGCCGCCTGTCGCAGTAAGTACTCGCGCGATGATTCGCGTCAGAAGATGTCGTCGATGACAACTTCCGCAATGAAAACAACATGCCCCGATCAGAAGCTACTGCGGCGTCGAACAAGTAACAACACTTCCGTTGTACCCGATCATGCCGTCTTTCGGCTGTCAAACTTTCCTGACAGCCGCTCGTCCCGCAAGCGTCGAGGGAGGAATGGGTCGCACGCGGGTCTGTCCGTCCCACCGTCTGGCTGTCTTACTGTCTGGATGGTTGGCTATTCGTTCGTTATTTGTTGCCTTTGACACCTCGTCTCGGAACGCTTTTCCTGTGTACCATAGTATGATGGTTAGCCCGATATAGGAACCCTCGAAGGGACGGAATGAGACGCGAGGCGGATCTCTAGGATAACCCGAATCAAATGATTCGAATTGGACCAGCGATCCCGAGACAAATATCTGGAACGTAACGGATATCAGGACATTGGTATTTGATATCACTTTCTGGCGCAGACTGCAGCTAATCTTGATGTCGTCGCCACGGAACTAGGTACATCGGCTTCACGGGACGTCGAAGTTGGCCATGAACATCGATCGAATCAATCGGCCGAAGCATTTTCACGCTGTCGCGCCGCTGGGGGAAGAAAAGGGAAAATTCTTCGGCAGAAACTCATCGGATCCGTTGGATTACTCGAATTCCCTTCTTAGTTTTTGGCTTCATACAGTTCCCAGACCTCTCTCTCGCCATACCCATTCGGTTTCACTGACCTGTGGCCTGGGAGTTGGACACCGGAGATCTGTCCGTCCCATTCTAAGGAATCCGCCATGGCATCTAGTCGAAGAGAAAGGTGTTTATTGAGATCAGTCTCGATCTCCGCAGGGAGGAGCCGGCTCGTAGCTCCGAACTAGCGATGAGAAGCTCTACACTGAGCTCCCGTGTTTAACCCCATCTCCGACTGTATCCCTCATCGCATATTTATGAGAACTACGCTGAGCTTTCACAACCACAATAAATTCATAAGCGTTTATATAACTTGATGAGGGAATCGCATCTCGAGAAAGCTTCCGCCTTCGACTGTTGGTTGATATCATCATGATGATCTAGAACTCAATCCTACGATGATTCCCGCAATCGTTCCGGGTGTGCCTAGCCCGAGAGTCCTCCTGTCTTTTAGCGAACAGTTCCCACAATACTTATCGAGCTGCGGAGGTCCGAAATTCTGAGCTTGAGCCCCGAACTGATAAAACCGATTCGACGAGTTTCGTGATCGCTTTTCCACACTCCAATGATTTTCCGGGGTCACATGTAAACAGTAGAGTCGCGTTTTCCATCGAGCCTCATGTCTCGAACGAGAAATGCCTTGTCCGATGTCGGATTTCGTAACAGACTCCTGATCATGTCAAACTTCATATGGCTGAGCATGGCAAACATTCTTCCTTCCACGAAATAATGTGATCAGAACCGAGCATTAGTTATTACAGTTCCCCCACAATGCGACCGTTTGAAACTATTGTGTTTGAGGGGAGCCACTACCAAGCGTCGGCTCCTACCAACAATCATTGCGTCCAGCGTTCTGCCTTCGGAAAGTCGCTCACTCACTCATCACCAGAGCGGTTTCTCGTCGTCGAAGTAGCAGATGAAAGAAAAAAGAATAAAATGGAGCTGAGCCCAATATAATTTAATCTCGAGCGAGCCTAGCCTAACTAAAAAGCTTTGTGGCGACGACGCGACGGTCAACGCCCCCTTGGGCAAACTCGCCGATAAACAAACATACCATCAAGATTAAAAGAGACTCCGGATGGGGGATTATGCGAACTTGAGTGAGTGTTCACGAGCTAGATATTATCCCCCTTCTGTTTCCAAATGTTCCGTCGCAAGCGCTGGAGTGCCTCACTCTACGAGACCCGAATCCCGGCTTAACCCGGGGTCAAATGCTAGTCAGTAAGCCAGCCAGCTCGCTAGCTCGCTGGTCGGTCGATGGGTCGTCGGGCAGGTTTACCGAATGAACGGTGGGACGACGACCAGGCGAACCCACGTCAACGGCATCAGCTTAGCTAAGAAAGGCCGTTTCTTCCTTTCTGTAGCGACTAAAATTAATGAGAGATGATCGATAGTGGAACATCCCACTGATATAAATCACCCGCCAGAAGAGAAGCGCTTCACCAGATAACTGTTTACAGTTTTCCCCCGAGACAGGTCATCAGCACAGCGAGCAACGCCAACGAAACACGAGAACAAAAGCCGGCGACAACGATTCTATCGGGTTGCGATTACAGGCTTTCAGTTTTCTATCGGGAGCTCAGATCAACAAATCCCTCTGGTCAGACCGATTCAGGGATCTGAATTCATCGAAGGCCAGCGATATCTCAGCCGAGAACTCAATCATCTGTCTCATTCGTTGCCTCTCGCAAACGGTCGTGTCCATAACTTGAGAAGTGCATACGACCAAATGCAGAAAGCGCTCCCAAACAAATCGATCATCTCCCTTTGTGAGATCACGATTATCAACCGGGAGAAACGGTTCTGGTGGAGTGGAGTAATGGCCTAAAATATGTCGCTATTGTGTTTGCCGCCGCCGCCGCCGCCTCCTCCGCCGACGACCACTTGCAGAATGTTTCTCTGGCTTTTGAACTTGATCCGAGTCGTGGCCAGTGTTGCTGAAAAAAGCCGAACGGCTATTGTGATCATCTGGGACGGCTAACGATGATGGCGTAAGAGTACACGATTACAAATGACCTCATGTCTGAAGAAGAAGCAGCCGCCGCCATGCTCTATTACCGAAAAACCATCCGCTCCATTCACCGTGTGGTAGATTACCCAGGCCAACGCGGTGGCCCCCTGAATTGAGATGTAACTCTTGCTGTCATGTATTCGAGACGTGCTTCGGACCGTCTCCAAACAAGCGGAAGCCATCTGCAGCTCTCAGAGGCCGCGCGATCATGCTTTCCCATCACTCAGAAGTAGCTTTAACGAGCGCGAATGAAGGATTATTGATTCTCGACGAAAATCTCGAGCTTTCGGTGAACTATGCGGCCGAGGTGAATGCTGACGACGTAAGCCCGGGAGGGAAGCGTTTCACCGAGGAAGATTTTCTGCGAATATTCGATCTGACTGAGAGTAATTTCGTGTTTCCAGGGCCTGCTACTCGTGGCTCTCTTAGGGTGTGCTCTGGGAGACACTGTCATTCCCGACGATGTGGAAGTCGTAACGTCTACCTCAGTATCGGTGCGAGTGTCTACCTCTGAAGACCACGTGCCCAGAGAATCGACCATCAATCAAATCGTGGACAAGGAAGAAGAAACTTCGAAGGTTGATGTGAGTAGGGAGTCGGTCCATCGGTGCCCGGGCAAGCAGCGGGCGGACGATCAAGTCGAGATGAGCTTTCGTATATCGAGAGAGCTGCCTGTAATTTTTCCCGGATATTTATAATAATTCCGAACGATGTCGTATCCGTCCCGCAGTCTACCAAGAAAGACGTCACGGTCAAAGAAGATCAAAAATCGAGTCACCAGGGACAGACTATCACCGTGAAGGCGACGACCGAGTCACCGAAATACAGAGTCCGTCAGAAGGGTACGTTGTCGGAATCTGGATGGGATTCCCACCATAGTTAGAGCCCCTTCCACTATCAACCTCCATGAGCTCACACAGCATCCCAGACGGGAACGAATTATGATTCGTCTACGATTTTCTCGTATTTTGCCTCCTCAGGTACGTCCCCCGCCACAGCTGCCACTGTCGGCGAGACCACCACCACCACAACGACTCCCGCGCCCTCCACTGAAGCGCCCAAGGAGCCTCCCCGACGCAAACGGAAGAGACCCGCCGGCTATCGCAGACCCGAAGGGGCTCCCCTCCGCAAACGGCCTGAAGAAGAGCGGAGGCAACCACCTGCTCGTCCTCATCCTGTGTTTCCACAAGCTGTTCTCCCTCACGCAGCTCTTCCCCAACATTTCGACCTGCATAGGCATCAACTGCCGACGGGCCGCCCTCAATATCAGTCGCCTCCTCCAAGGATTCCAGAGCCGCTGCCCCCTGTCCAAGCGCCGCAACAGCCGATCAGGAGAATACCTTTGCCGCCTCCTCCCCCGCCACCATCCGAGAAAACCGCAGGCGTACATCATCCCCAAGTGAGACCCCGTCCCGTGGTGTTCGAACCGCAACTCCACCACGCCCTTCCCTTGCCAGTACCCCAAGCGCATCACCGTCCTGCGCCCCAGCCCGTCACGGTTCCCTCGTCCACGACTGAGTCCCATCCCCCGCCGCCCGAGACGTCCACGAGCGTCGCACCCGAGGTGTCTAGCACCAAGAAACCTCTGAAGCTGAAGAAGCATCGTGCGCCTGACGCTCAGAAACGGCCTCAGCCAACACAAATTACCCTGCCGCCTCCCACCAAGTCGAAGGTCAGCACGACCACCGCAAAATCCTCGTTCCTCTCGTACTTCTCGTTCGGGAAGAAAGACGAGAAGCTCGAAGTCGCATCGACGCCCCTCCCTCCCGTGTCAGTTCCGCTCCCAGCCCCGGCCCCGGTGCAGCCCGTGCATTCCGCGCATCCCGCGTCGGTCCAGGGCTCCCTCGCCCCCCAGGTCCGTCCCCATTATCAGGCCGAGCCCTTCCAGCCAGGTCCCGTGGAGCTTTCTTTCAGAGAGTCGGTGAAACAACAGAAGTTCCCCAAGACAACCAAGACTCACAAACCCCAGAAGAACACGAAGAAGCACTTCCGCGACGACTATCCCATCCCACCAGTGGTTCCTATCCCTCCCCCGAGATACGATGAGCCATACCGTCCGTTGGAGAGCTCTCAGCCCCAGAAATCGGCCCCCGTGCAGACGTCCTACACCGCGCCCCCTCCCACCCCCAAGCGAACCTATACAGACGACTTACGCGGCCCCGGTAGAGACTCAGAAGCCTCACCACCACGCTCCGAACTACACCCCACCCCCGTCATCGCAGCCACAATTCATTTTCGGCTACCCACAGGAGCCTCAGTCTTACCAGCCCGCTTACCAACAAGTCCAGCCCCCCAGTCAACAATACTCGCAACCGATCTATGGCCAAGCTCCGCCGCAAGCATACCAGCATCCTTACCAATCTTACCAAGGACATCAACATAGCCACGGTGCTCCTCAACAAGAACAAGTTTACCACCAACAGCAGACATCTCACCAACAGACCTATCAGAGCGAGCCGCAGAGCCACCATCAAGGACAATATCAGCCAAGCGAGTCTCAGCAGAATCCACCGCAGACTTCCCAACAAGACCGAGCCCAGAACAGCTACAGACAACCCGAGCAACAACAGAGTTTCCAACAGCAACAGCACACATACGAACAGCCGCAGGCTCTCCTGGTGCAAGTCCCGAGCAGCATGAACCCTGGTCACACTCAGATTGAACTTCCTGCGGAGGTGCTCAAGGCCCTCGGGGTCAGGAACGTCGTCCCCGGGGTCGCTGGCACCACCGAGCTCGGTCACAATCAAGCTTCCGTCGTCAGCCATCTCTCGAACGGACAAGGGGTAGTTGTACTGAACGAAGTGTCGAACCGACCCTACGTCCGACCTAATCCTGAAATGACGTATCACCACCGAGGATATCACGGCCAACCGATTCCCGTCGATGTCTCGAAGACTCCCTACACCAAGGGTCTACCCCACGGATTCCCGGCTCCGTCCAAGATCCAGGTTGACGAGAAGACCCAGGTGTCCCTCTCCGGTGTCGTCCTCCCTCACCATGGTACGCTTCGAAAGTCGAAAGGCGCCCGCGCCATGATAGACATCCGATGATGACTGTTTCAATTTTCCGAATCGTGTCGCAACAGAAATTGATGAAATAACTTTACCGTAGGATTGAAGACGTCGTACAATGAGCTTCCACCCACGCAAGTGAACCTGAACGAGCCTTTGAACGTCCACATCCCGATCAGCCAGCTTCCTCCTCGGCCAGCTGTGAACGTTCGGATCAAGGGACCAGACGGCAAAGTTTCAGAAGTTCTTGTTCCCCTCCACGAAAGCGTAAGTTTCGACGGGACAAGTAGAGTTCCCCCCAATGCCGTCTAGAGCGGGAGCGATTCTCGGAATTAATCCTTCTCTCGCTCAAAATCCAAAACTTCAGGTGCATTCTTTTAAACTCTCTATGAGTCGATAAACTGTTTCCTCTCTCCAGAACATCAAGCGATACCCTTCAGTTGAGAACTATCCCAACTCGCCTGAGAAGCCGACGAAGTACCTTCCCCACTTCTACGGTGGTTCCTCGCCGGGGAAACACATCCAACACAGCTTCGTTGATACGCAAGAAATGTTGGTCGGAGCAAATTCGTCGCCGCCTGGCCGCAAACCTGGTTTCGGACAAATTTTCGAGGGAGCAGCCTCGTCTATGCACACTTCGTTGATCGGCGGATGGGGGACCAGCATCCGTAACATGGGGAGCCGTATCGGATCAATATTTTCAAGAAAAGCGTCGTCTAGTTAATAATTGAAGACTGTATGCGTAGAATGGAGTGAATGTGAGCTGCTGCGACCTTTCCATCTTTCTTTCTCTTAGACCATGCAAAGCGTCCAAGCCTTATTTATGTCTTTTTGATGTAGTAATGTAAATATTTAAAAACTTCCGAACCAGAAATGGCCAACGTGTAATTGCGGCTGCTGAGTGACTGACGACATGATTCAATATGTATTGTTCCACGGTTCTGAAATCAATGATCGAGGGAGTGACACAAAAAAAGAGTTTCATATAATAGATTGAACCGAATAAATAAAGTCTATATTCCGAAAAGCTGGTCAATCTATCCGAATCTTTCGTCAGCTTCATAACTTCATAGACTTGGAATTTCTCATGACTCATGACGTGTCTTAATAGCGAGCGAACGAATCCCCTGCAACTCAACGGAGGTTCGAGGGGGAGCCGCGGAGGTCTGCCATGTAACGACTGGAATCCCTCGTGCGCAGAAAGCGAGCAGAATCCAAGCTCTTGGACGTGGGTGCCAAACTCAAACCCCTTCAAGGGCCAATCTCGGCCGAGAACGGGGAGGGTCATAGAGACGCAAGACAACCCTCTCCCATCCATTCCTCACGATGAGTTGCTCGGATTCTCTCCGCTCTAACAAGCTATCAAGAATCGAAACGAATTTCGGACTTCGGACGCACGGGTTGAACGTCTCCGTGAGGACTGGAAGAGACACCCCGGGTCTAGGAGAATGACGCTCGAAAAAGCCAAAGAAACCGACCCAAAGATAAGCGGCTGCCCCAGAGTTCCGGAATAATCCCCACTGTCCTTGCCACGACGAGTACATCACGCTTTCACTGAAAATATCAGGCATCGCCCCGGATAAGTAATGCTAGTTGCGATGTTCTTGTCACGAATCGAGGAGATTGGGGAAAGAAAAGCCTCTACTGACATCAGGAAGCTTGTGTGCTATCGCTCGACCGAAACGTAACACGTTACTGTTTATTCGAACGCACGACTGAATATCTTTTTCAACAAGCCGGCAGTCTGAAAAGCCGCCATGTACGGCGGTGCCCCTGCGAATATAACACATTGTTCCCGAAATCAAAAACCTCCCAGCGTGCCAGGAAATTCCCGAGACCAAGGAAGCTTTCTTACCCTGGTCCTCACAGTCGATAGCGCAATCATATCCATGGCCGCAGAGGATCCTTATAGCTCATTCGATGATCCGAGCATCTCGCGGGAATCGTGATCATCATAGTCTCGATGCAGGTCCGATATTGATCGATTGTCGGCGATCAGAAGATGAGTCGGTCGGCTCATGATAGAGGCAATCATCAACTCGTGCATTGCATACCGATTCAAATTGCCGAACATGAAGAGGTCTGGGTAGTACCTTCTATCGAGATGACGCATTTCGCGGCGTGGTTTCTTCTTCGGTCGCCGTCTCGTGTGCTCCAATCTTGGCAGGAACTCGTCGTCATCGGACACATACCAAATCTTCTGCGCTGCAGAATCCTCCTCTTCGAATCCGAAGTTGACTCTCGTGGGATAAAGAGGTAATGAAGCTCCGTTCGCGTCAGGGAAGGAGTCGGACCATGTCACACTCTCCGCCGAGATCGCAGAGTCAGCTGTTGCTTTCTTCCTCGGACGAACGAACCATCGCTCCAGGGGAGCTCTTTCCGGATTTCTCGATCTCGTGCGCCCGAAAAATCGTGTAATGGCTGAGGAGTCCAGAGGGAGCACTTTGAGTGAGCATAGGAGGAGCACAAAGCACGAAACGCGCATCTCAGATCCGGTCGCTGGTCTGGCTCTGGGAAGAGATTGTAAGCACACTTTGACGAGATTTTCTCTTTCCGCAGTGAGCCAACATTGCTTGTTTGCGCTCTTGAAGGAAGATGTCAAAACCACGACCGGTCAAGACAAGTCCGATGGGAAGCATACACAACCGACCGCACAGGTAGCAGCAGAGTCTCAGCATCGCAGCCCGGTACCCGGTACCGCGATTCGCGCGGATCGATTGTGAGATTCAAAGAGCTCCATATCTACAAATCGACAGTGGTTGTTGGCGGAAGTTTTGTTCAGTTGTTTCTCTAGTATGCTCCGGTGGGGAGATAGAAACGTTTGCCATTGACTTATATCGGATTACTTGAACCACATACACAGGCAGAGACAGATCACACGTGAAGTGATCTCCTCTAGGAAAGTCCGTCCTCTCGGCGTCACTCGGAATTCCTCGAATTTCTCGATGTCGCGGGAACTTGCGCTTTGATGTCTCGCTGGAAACATTCATTTGGGAGACGCCTCAAAGCCCGTACCATGCCCCGCAGCTGATCCCAAGGGTATGACCCTCTCATACTATCGGAAAGCGACGAAGTAAATCATCGTGCACGGATCGCGCATGTCCACATCCTACCCGATCTACATAGTGCAGGCGAAGCGGGGTGCTTGCAATACGACCATTGGAAGTTGACCTTCCAGTTTTTCATCCGAGCCCTCAAACTCCGCCGCACCTCGAAGTCGGTGATTCCGAGCTGCAGCGCCCACAACATAGATGGCGGTGCGAGAGCTGGAATTTCGCAACTATGTGACCAGTGCCTTTCCAAAGCATTGAATGCCGCCTGCAGACAGTACATTCTTTGAGAGAGACCTATGAGCTCCGCACCCCGAGTAGACGGCGTGAAGGGTTCCGATCACCCCCGATACCCACCACACTCTGCCCCGAGACACCCGGATGAGCAGTGAGAGAGTTCGCACCCGTTAATACGATATGAGCACGCACTCACCCGCATTCCATCGTCGGAATGCTCGAAATTTCAGCCGGCTCGTCTCAATATAAGGGGCATCGATGCCAACCGAAACACAGTTTTCTCTCTATCTGCAGACAGAACCGGAGCTCTCAGAGACTTCATCGAAAATTCGCGCGGAATTCGCCAACTGCAAATCTCAAGTCTCGCTCAGTCCAGCCAATTCCGAAACGGACTTAGATCAAGTGAGGATTGGTGCCTTGCGAGGAACTTCCGCTACACCGTCAGCAGATCGGAACTTCTGCGCCATCGTGCCGGCGACTCACGGATCCAACTGGTTGAATTGAGAGAAGGATTAGTTCCGACACACGTGGAATTCGCGAAAATTGCTCCGCAGACGGGTGCTGTGAGTTGGCACCCCCAGTCATCAGAAGAGTGCTCTCCGCCGGATAAAATTCTCGAAAGCTCCCCCATTTTCGAATTTCCCGCGCAGAGACACTTCTTTGGCGCGCAAAACTAACATGCTTGGCTAAACGGAGAGGAGGAATGCCATGCTGTGTTTTTCTTGAGTCCGCGGAGTGCGTGTTACATTGAATTGATCGGTCTGAGATCACTCTTTCCCGATGGCCCGCACACTTCCAGCTGACATCGAATGGAAGTTCCGGGAGTTCTACTGGCAGGCGGTCACCCGAGGAGACGACTCAGCAGTCACGCCGGAGGGGAAGTACTTCGTGAAAGCTGTGAAACACTATGGGGTATATCAGTTGCTACAGATGCGAAACGCTAATGTCGCTTTATCGAATTGTGGCACGCCTGAGAGTACGGTCAGGGAAAAACCCGAGAAGTACCCGGCTAAACGATCCAGGAAACGTCGCTTCGATACAGATGATCCGCTCGAACATCGAGCTCAACCGCCCCGTAAGGCAAAACCCACGCCTATAAAGCGGTCGGGCAGCGAGTGTTGGTGACAGCTGATCGTCCCGGTTCACCTGTGATAAACTTCATGTGTTGCGGAAGTACAAATCTGCTGAGAATGTTCTGCATGGATGTCATCGTGTCTTGTATGATGATCGTACTCGAACTCGTGCCTTTAGGATGTCGGAAGACTGGACGAAAAGCTAGGATCTAGCATAGTACATATGTAGAATCATCTTTCGTGTTGTGACTTGAGACAGAGACGTCCGGGTCGAGTCCAGGCACCGGAACCTGGTGCTCACGGGAACTCGAGATGGCTCGATTCCCTCACTGATCTCGAGGTCCTTGTGCTGCATCGATCAACGAAGCTACACCGAGGAAATTGAACCGCGTGGCGGGGGCACGGGATGGAGCCACGTGAACTCCCACCACTAGGCAGAGAAGCGATTTAAATAAATTAATCATTTTACGTGACGACCAATCAGCTCCATCTCTGGATTTGCGTATCAGCTCTTCGAGAAGCATGAAGCAATTTCTCCTCGGCACGATGGATTCCGAAATGAGGACTAGGTACCAGTAATGGAAGAAACAATATCCGAGTGAGCTCCTGAGCAGTTCATCCCTTAGGGGAGGAGACCGAAGACTCCTTGCGGTGGATTCTCACAAATCGTGCGGGCTCAGTTCTCCCTCAAGGAGAATCGCCACGAGACATCGCGAATATCCACAAGGAGACTCGGTTCTGGAAATCCTCGGCCCGAGGCATGGCGAATATTGGCGAAGCGCAACGAACGACTCCCGATGAGAATCTCGATTGAGCCCAATCCACGGGGCGATATCGATCATAGTCGAGGTCATCAGTCTCGGATCGCCCTGCATGTAGCATGTAGTATCTCGGCTCCCGAGGACAGGATTCGGACTCTCTCTGAAAATCAGGCACGTAAAGCCCTCTGAAATGAATTCAGAACACGTGCTGCAACGCCAAGATTCTTCAGTCCGGAGCGATCCCCCGCTGTCTCAGCGAAAGTTCCATCAAGCCTGGATGTATGCTTGCGGCAGTTCAACAAGCAGAGATGAGGCTGGGAAGTGAGCTCGGTCGCATCGAAAGGCGTGAGTTTCCACGGTAATCAATAGGTGGGGTAAAACTTGCCGTGAATTTTCGAGAAAAATGCCGAGAAAGATTCCCAGCCTAAACCAGCGTACGTATATGTGGGCCATCCTTCGCCCTCCGCATCCCTCAAAACATGTCCGTATCACCACGGATATCGTCGTCGTCCAGTCCGACGGGAATCGAATATATGTTCTCATTCTGAAGTCACCAAGCTCCACTGAATGTCCTACGGCGGGGGGAAGGTATTCCCTGCGCACGATTGCTCCATGAAACTTCGAGACAGCATTTTTATTACATTTCCGGTATCTGGGGTGGCGTCGAACGCGCCGGAAGAACTACGAAGCTCGACGAAGCTCTTCTTCAAATACTGGATTTCCGTTTTTTCGACACAACGGGCGATCCAGCGGGTTGCGGGGCGCTGATTTTCTCCCGCTTGATCGGTGGCTTCTTCTTTATGGGAATGTGACATGGCTCACAAGCTGAAAAACGAAAATCATCTCAATTCAACAGAATCATCCTGTGCTCGGATGAAAATTCGCTCTCCTCCTCTAGGGGAGCCCTTACACAAGTCCTGGTACCTCGACTCACTTACCATGGGGATCATCTCGGAACCATGATGCTTGAAGACAATCGCGAGCTGTCGCCCTGAAATCACATCGATGCTCTGAGGTATATAACGAGGTAGTCGTCCTGAACGTCCCTGAACCGATTTCCGCCATTGTGTCGCGTTTCTCGTAAATCCGGATGAGAAATATGAGAATCGAAAGATACCTCTTGTCCGGCGAGTAACACAGCAAGGACTTCAATAGCCTCCTGCAGGACGATGGTATGCAAGGGAAGATCTCCCACAGATTGTTCATCTTCTGATCTTTGATATGCATATTGCACTGCCTGATGAGCGTCGACACCCCCTGGAAGAAGCGAGCTCATCAGTTCATGCGAGCGTTGTGCGTTCCCTCCCGATAAGTTTGTATGGTTGGTGGAGGAAGCCTGATATTTGAGGAATTACCGGCCATATTGCTTCGTCCGGGCTGCCGATCAAGTTACAAATCATTTCCACTTGTTCGAGCTCGCTCCGGCCAGGAAGGAGCGGTCGATTCAGCAGAAGCTCTCCGAGAATGCATCCAGCCGACCTGTCAGCGAGATCTTTAGTCAGGACTGATATCAAGCCAGGAAAGCTTCATTCGACAACTTCTCGGCTGCTAGTTGCGAAACATAGCTCGACAACGACTCTTGGTCGCGGGATCGTTTCACTCCAGGATCACAAGATAATGTATGAAATGCTCAACTCTCTGGAGCATCAGTCATAATCGCTGACTAGAAGGCGCACAGCTGCGGTCAGTACGTCCAACGGTTGAAAAAGCGTGACAACACTTCGCGGAAATCGCTGATAATAATCAGCAGCATTCTCGCAGCGAGCGAGCAATGTTCAGAGTTTCAGGTGATTCCAGGAATACTCCAATTGACCCGGCCCACCGCGAAAACAGCTCCAAGAGGCGATCGCCAACTAGCTCCCTTATCTTCACTTGCCGTACCACATGTCCACGGCCGGAGTTTGCATCGCTGATTGGAAGAGAATTTCCGGTGGCCTGTACCAGAGAGTGACGACGTCGCAAGGTGTCCAGTATGTCGATATAACGCAGTCTTTCGAGAATCCGAAGTCTGCGATCTTGACGTCGCCTGCGAGAAATCGAACCCAACTTCAATCGAGTCGGCGATCGAGAGCAATCGTATAATCGAGGATAAGCGACAGGCTTCCAGGATTTCAGGCACGGGTTAAAAGAACATCTCACAGCCATACCGTTCGGAGTCAAGAGAATGTTCGAAGCCTTCAGATCGCGGTGTATAATTCCCGCATCGTGGATGTGGGCTAGGCCGCCGAAAAACTGCCGAGATATGCATTTCACCTGAGAGGGATCGGATTACGCCGGGTTATTCATGGAGCAACGCAATCGATGGCGCACTCGATCGACCCGGATCTCGGCGATACCAACCTGCGACTCATTGAGCGGAGATCCGAGACTGTCGACGAGCTTTCCAAGATCTGTGGTGCACTCCTCGAGAGAGATGAAAACTGAACTCGGACTGAGTACGAGATTGAACATGCGGATGATATTCGGATGCGACAGCCGGCTCAAAGTTGTGATCTCACGAACGCCGGACGCAAGAGTGTCCTCTGGAATGGGAGAAAAAACTTTTCTCAAGATGAAGTCTTTAAGCGAAAATCCACTATACTCTTTGCATACACGTACTCTCCCACGTGGTTTCACCTGTTATCTCGTTGGAAAAGAGTATTCTTTTCATGGCCAGTATCTGTCCATTTTGTCTATCTTCGACTTGATCTGCAAGATTATCAATTGCCATGAGATTGTTTTACGCTCGTGTACGTGGACGCGAAACATTGTCAACTGAACGCGGGAAGTTGGAGCGTTTCCAACAGCGTTGTCCTTCACTCTGCGTTATTTATAGAGTGCGTCATGCAGAGCTGGCCTAAATCTACGGAATGAAAACCGAACTCGAGAGGTCCATCTATAAATATACCGATTGGCTGACCGCTCAACTCAAGAAGGAACTTGTACTCACAGACCGTGCCGAAGCTGCCCTCACCGAGTCGTCTGATTTTATTGTACTCTGTGGTCCTCCGACACGATTCCAGCTGTAACGGAGTCAAACGCCGATTATGTCGATAGCTATCGCAAACTCTCCAGGCCACATATGGGAAGCTTCAGGCCTGGCTCTCCTTTCACGGATACTGTTGGACTATTTAGCGGGAAAAACCCTCGCCAAAGTCTGGGCGTTTTGAACTCCCTCTCTGTGAAGCTTTTCCAATTTCCTTTGATCCGATTCCATGGGCTCTCTCAGCCGTGCCCCACATCTGCCCAATGAATGCCCCCAACGGCCACGAATATGGTGGACAGCATTCATCGGGACCCATCAAAATACGATCCATCTCAACGCCATAAAAAAACGGTGCGGTTCCGCGAGTTCGGTCGAATACGACATTTACTGAAATGCTCATAGTTAGGGGGGGGGGGGACATTCACGCTCCCCGGTCGAAGGAGAGTTCGCTGGTGTTTCTTATCGCGTTATCTCTCACGATCTGTAAAGCGTGTGACAGTCCATCTTGCGGAACCGTGCATCCAGCGCGATTCTCGACGAGTAGCTCCTCTTTATACCTCCTCAGCCTAATTTCGATTTCTTACTCACAAGGGACTTGGGCAAAGCTTGGAGAAGCTTCAATGAAACTGGATGGTGATTCGAAAGGAGTTCGGCGAAAGGGAGTGGCACCGCGAACTCCTCATCGGAATCGATGGCTCGTCGCATTGCTCCCCAGAAAAAATCCTCTACAAGAGACGCGGATTTTTATTCGAATATCATATTTTCACGACTCGTCTGGCAAACGTGTGATGAAGCCCTCTCTCTCTCTGTTATACAAGGAGGTTACTATTCGATCTCACGTGTTCACTCACACTCGTCGCCGAGGAAAGTCGCAACGGTTTGATCGGCTTTGAGTCGGCCACCTCTAGCACGACCGCAGCAACACGAACAATATGCGTGACAACACATATGATGAGATCCCTGGCGCTAATCGATCACGGGAACTCCGGTAGATTGAACCCAAAAGTTCATATGAACGACAGACTGTATACGAGAGACCCGATGTTGATGCTCGACACCTGACCAAAGACCGGACTAGCGTGAGCCGTGGAGATCCTTTTCTGTAGAACCCTTTCCCAAGAGTAATCAAGTTGCGCTCTCTCGGCCACGGCAGCGAAACGGGGTTAGTGAACTTTTCGTTTTCGGGGCGATCTTTTTGAATGTACTCATTGAAGGAATCTTCCAAGAGATTCTTGTCTCTCATGTGCCTATTTTTGACGTTCGCTGAATAAGGCGTTTGAATACGTGTATGCCCTGACCCACTCCAATTATTTATCATTGAGCTCCATTCGAATGGCCCACAAATCGATGGAGACACCACCATGGAGAAGGCTCGTGCAGCTCTAAACCTGCTGCTTGGATAAATATGCAAACGGCTTTCTCGATTTCGCCTTCGGGTTTTTCCGGGCGGAGGTGCACCGCGGACTACCTTCTGGAAAAAACCTTAGCCAAGTTGCGCCAGCGAAGCGAAACATGACAAAGTCGTCATCCACAGAGCACGTCTCTCAAAATCTCGTGAGTCATCGATCTCTTCCTGGCCGCCAGGGTTCCCCTTCGACCCTCGAAGAATTCTCGGGGAAGCCCGCATCGACGCACCGCTTTCTGCCCTTAAACTCCGTAGACTTTCGGGAGCAACCCACGGGTGATCGAAATTTCGCACTGAGACTTCGAGAAAGTGCTCCTGCTCTCGACGGCGCGTATTCGGGGCCGAGAGCCTAGCTTCCGGGTCTGAAAATCAAACTCCCTCCAGCCACATTGCATCCCTCTGAGTGCAAGAGTATCATATCCCCCATACGGCATTGAGCGAGTGAAGATAGCAAGAGCCGGAGACATGGTCCACTCCATCGAGTCAGAAAATTCCGCGGTAAGCAGTCCAGGCGGAACTCTTCACCGACTCCTCGCGTCGAGCTTGCCTAAAGGCTCTCGATGCCCACGGGGTCTTCACCCTGTTATCATGACAGTTTTTCATGATTCTGGGGGCTGACCGGGGTCGCATCCGAAGCTCCCCGGAAAGCCATACCTCCTGAGTAAAAGTCGGAATCTTCAGCCGGACCGCATGTCTGCTGGAGCGACAAGTTCCGAGCATCGGTTGAACATTCTCGACTTTTTCGTCGGGTCCGCTGCCGGCCATTTTCGTCTTCCAGGAATGGGGGCGAGAGGAAAACTCGCTAAGGAAAGCGGAACACTCAACATCCCTATCAGCAGCACTCAAAACAGATGGCATGAACGGGAACACGTTCTTGGAGGCCATCAGATTGTTGTGCTGCATTCTCGAGGAAGCAGCGCTGCGCCGCTGCCCTCACGCCAGTTCAGAGAGCGAATTCCTATGTAATTAGAGCTAGGTCTGAATTTCCAGAGCAGTCTTTTATTTGATCAATAGATCGACTCGGTATGCAGATTTCAGAAGCGAGGAGTGAGAAAGAGTTTCAGAGATCAGGAGCTCCGCAGGGATGGCGGAGAATGCCAGAGAGGATTCTCCAGCAATCTCGAGATGTCGACGAGCCCGGAAGGAAGCGTTCCGACGAGCGATACACGAGATCCGGGTCGGAGACTGTCCCGTCGCAGCCGGGATCAGCTCAAACGAATCCGCCTCCCCCATAAGCAGCGTGAGCCGCGTCCTTTTGGGCGACTCCCGGCTCGTTCGAAGCTATCTTAGCTCGAAATCCATAATGGTCTGCGATATAATTGACATGACGAGCCCTACCGTCGATGTCCACGAAACCGTAAGATCCTTTCTTCACTCCGGGAGCGCCGCTCTCGTGACGATAATTCTTCGCGCCTAGACCATCAGTGATATGGTAAGAGAACTGGTAATTCCCGTAATCCTGGAGAAAAAAACGATTTTCCTAACGATAGTACACTCGGGTGTAGCGAGCGCCGATCGATGATGGAATCGCAAGCCGAGACTCACGTCCTGCTTGTGGTTGTTGACAGAATGACCACCTCCTACGGCCGTTGCGTACACCGCGAATCCAAGGAGTAGAAGCTGGAATAGAAAACACGGCTTGCAAATCGGGAATGCGTGTGATCGAAAGCGACCAGAAGAGTCTCGATGGAGGAGTCAGCTGGATGGAGAGCTCAAAAATAGTTGGAATAAATTCGAGGTTCGGGCCGGAACTCTTCTGGAATATTTGTCGGAAGAATCTTCTTCTCAAGAAGTTCTGCACGAAACAAGAATGGAACAGAGACACTCTGCTCGAAAAGCCGAGCGGACGGAGAAACTGCTAGCTAAGACTGAAAACACGAACCACAGCGAAGCTGCTTTTCATGTCAGGCTTGGTGCGAAGGGATTGTGCTGTGTCTCGTATGTTTCACCCTTATATCTAAGCCCACCCAAACTTGAGCGCCGCCGCTTGGTTTGTTCTGGACGACCGAACTACATTTGTAGGATTGGAGTCGATTAAGCAGACTAGCAGAGCATGATCGGGGCTTACCCCAAAGGTTCTGCGGAACTCTTGAAGTGGAAACATATCACAGCACCGGGAGCCATTTCTGAGTTCCCAAGTCATCAGGACAAAATCTACGGAAGAATTATAATCTGCCGCATCGATCGCACGGCCAGAGACGATACGAGCGAAAAGGGCGGCGCGACGTCGAGAGCGGCACATAAAATCGAGTTTCGGTCGTGCTTCAGTCGGGCCGCGGGTTCAGTATCTGAGGGAGAAACTGAGGACGCTACAGGCAGCCATACCCTGTGTTTCATAGCCGATGACTAGAGTTCCTAAACTTCGGACATTTCATATCTATCCAATCCGCAAGAGCGGAGACCGACGACCACATCGACGAGGGAATCGTCTCTGATGAGTTATCCCTGTCGCCGGACGATGTGGGAAACGCTAGAATAAAATGCCGCAATCGGATCTATCCTCATTCGAGAGTCGGAAAATGAAAATGCCCGAAATTTAGGAACTCCACCGATGACCGATATTCCGAGAGGTCCACGATGATTCCCTTTCCATTATTCCGTCATCGAAACCAGTCTCGAGAGGATTGTTTTGTCTCTCAGCCTCTGTTTTCTGTACGTTGGACGCTAGTGCAAGAAGTCACTATACGTCAAGGGAGGGGCAAGCCAAGTGTGAGCACGATATCAGGTCTGTGATGATTCTGAATCAGGGCGCCTAGGGATGTCTATGATAACGAAACTTCAAGGGGAGCAGTTTTTCTGTGACTCTGACAAGACTTGATTGAGTGGAACCTACACGAATGTGATAAGGGCATCTACTAGATGTTTCGGTGAGTGAGCCTCAACGATGGATTAGTTCACAGGCTAGTTCCATTGATGATCTACTTCGGCTTGAAAGCAACCAGCGCGACGAACTACTTCCAATTCACAGCATCGAATAATTATCAAGAAACGACAGCAGAGAAAACCCAATGTCTTCGTTGACGATGTGAAGTGAAGACAAGAACACAGGGGAGTCCAGTTGCCGCAGCAGAGGTTAGAGAATCACTGGAGCGGAAGCGCCCATTTCCACTTTCCGAAATCTCACCCGCTTGAGCCAGGCGGACTAGTAGTTCATCGCGCAGTTTTGGAGCTCATAGATCCACAATTGTGTCTACTGTATCCACCGCCATCAGATCATTCCTCCTCCAAACCAGTTTATCATCAGGAATATTGAGAAATTCTGTATATTCAGCTTACAGATTGATGAACTCCGGACTCGATATGGGAAATGCGCTCGTTCAGTGGCCAGAATGCCGGGAGTCCTCGAGAACACCACCAACTTATCCATCTTCGAATTCTCGAGCTCTTTCACAATGATGAACGAGACAGAAGGCACTTGAGTTTCGATGTTCGACTTGCGGTATAATTCGTGGCCGTATCGAGCTCGTGAGAATCGATCGAAACTCATAGTAGTCTCCGACGGGTTTCGGCGCGGTCGTTTCTCTCCGATGACAGCTCTGTCCATGGCTCCGTCAGATGCAGAAGAGGGAAATCGCATCAAATGTCGGCCGCGATCTAAGACTGTGTCGTGTTGACGAAACGAGAGTTCGAAATTCAAGAGGATAGTGTTCAAACATTGGAGTCAATGCGTTGATTTCCGCATCGGGACAACCTAGGTACGCATTGGAGCTTTCGGGCTCGGTTGCCGTATCCCTTCAACCACGACGCGATAGCGTTCTGTCTACAAAACTGCCCTCTGTACCTCATAGAAAATAAGCTTCCCCCGGTCGATGCTTCTGCTAGGAATTTGGAAGAGGAATTGAAGCGCCCTCCTAGACGAGGTCCACTCGGGAGTCTGTGTGGGACAATCCGGGTATCGTATGAAGCCGGTGGATTTGAGGACTGATCTCGGAACGGGCACTGATTTCCAAGTTACCAGTTAGTATCCAATCGTCATGGAATCGCATGGATTGTTCTCAAATTCAAAAACAAATCTCACGAGGCTGATCGAGCAGGCAGCTTGTTTCGAGTCTGTCATTGATAGTAATTGGAATCGAATGCGAGAGGGGCCGTTCAACCCGAGCAGGAATCATCAGGATCACCAATCGGAAGTCTTCTCTCGGGAAACATCCCCAAGGGTGCTCCCAAGGGTAGGGTCGCAGGCATGGCAGCGCTGTTCATACAGAGCTCGCGCCGAATGGAGCTGATCCTGATGCTTATTTTCCTAGAGTACGACAGCGTGAGCGCACGAGGTAATTATCATCTACTCCCCCGAGTCTCATTGTCGTGATCTCTTCCAGCCTTCAGTAATTTTCTCAATCGACGCAACAGACTGGGCTTGAGAATGACGACTCTCTTTCTTGGAGCCTTCATATTTTTCCAGGCTCGTATCCGAGGAACTACATGCAAGCCTGTGAAGGAGGACTCGGTGTGTGCACCACGGCTGCCCAGTGTCGCAAGCATGCCGGAGAAGTCGTCGGAACTTGTCCTCTGTCAACATGCTGCAGGAGTCTGTCGTTTATACCATTCATACAGTACAATCTAGATTCACTCATTGGTGGTACAGATAATTGTGCCTCGGGAGTCTCATGTTGACCTTCATTTGATACAGTGTCAAGAACTTGCGACCAGATAATCCTTCAGAATAATACCTATTTCGTTGAGAACCCCCTTGAAATGAGAGGGAAGTGTGACGTCGATGTCCATAAGCTGAGGTATCCTGGGGACATTTGTCAGCTGAAGCTCGACTTGGTGGAGTTCTCTACAATCGGACCTGACCCGAATGGCATCTGCTCCTTCGACAGCTTCGAAGTCAGCGGTCAGCTCAACGCAGTGCCCGTAATATGTGGCTTGAATTCCGGACAACACTGTGAGTCGACCCCAGAGCCTAAGCTCGAGCCGAGTGTCCACGAGATCGTGCATCCGTATCTTTGACGTGTCGATATTCGATCCTCCCACAGTTTACTTGGATGTACAAGGAATTCCAACTGTGCATCTTAGGATGAACCTGGCTGCTAATCAAACTCGAAGGGTTTGGAAGATACGGGTATCGCAGCTGCCCTGCCGTTCCGGGAGATTAGCTCCGCGGGGCTGCTTGCAGTACCTCGAAGAGAACTCAGGGATAATCTCAAGCTTCAATTATGGCAATCCGTTCAACAGCAGTTATCCCGTGATCAGTCCGTGCGTCAACCTTCCAAGAACGATCGAACATGCAATTATTCATTATTGCGGTCGCCAATTCTTCCCTGTTTCTCTCCAGGAGATCGTATGAAATCTGCTTCAGAGACAAGTGTCAGCTGAACTTGAGCAAAGCGGGACCTTTCGGATTGACAGCGCAACCTCAAACGTCGTCCGTGACCATTCGATCCTTGGTGAGAATCGACCTCGCTGGGCTCTCTGAATGAATAATTAATAATTCGTTGGTGGTGGAAGGGAAAAATTAGGATCCCGGATGATGATGCAAGTCGTGTGAGAGGTCGCTCTATAGCAGAATCGAAAATGAAGTCGATTCAGGAATCGAGTAGGAGGAGTTTGGATCGACTTCATTAGCCCCAAGTCGACGACCACTAGACATTAGCGCAGCATCTCAAGCGAAACAATGATTTTCAAACCTTCAAGAACCGGCTCAATCTGGATGCGAATTGTCTAGATCCGCAAGACTTGGCATGGCTGAAGCAGAAAAGCTTCATTTCAGTCGACTACACCAGATTCTGCGGTGACAATTTCCCCGATCTCTACACTAGCGGTGAGCGAAACTCAGTAGAGCAACCAGGCTCTAAGGCATGCGAATTTTCTGTATCGTTCGCTCAACCTGTCTGCTTCTCTATCTTTCCCTGCAACACTCGCTCGACAATCAGCCGACACGCAAGATGATTGCCAAAGATTCACCTACCTTCAGAGCAATTATGCATTTTTTTTAGAAATCTCACAGTCATCTTGACGAACTCGCGTGGGGTGTGACTGACGAGTGATTCTTCCGCAGTACACATGGTGAATCAGATGTCGGTGGCGATCTATCCCCTGGAATACAATCGTTCCGAGGTGTTCTATCCTGGATTTCGTCTTCGATACATGTTGAATTGTGGACGAGGTGAGTGACTTTTCCATCGCTCGGAAGAGGAGCTTCACCTGCGACGCGACGCCGACGTAGGCTCCGTCAAATTAGCGAGCAGTGGCGTACCCAGGGGGGGGGGGCGG